TTATCCTCAATAGCATATAGGCTGCTTGGAGCCTATTCTGGTTTTCTGGGAATCCAAGACTTCCCCCACTTGGATCTCTTGGAATTGTTGGAACCTGATAGAATGGGCCATGGTCTTCACTATTCTGAAGGCCGCACTCAGTTTGAAGTCGTGGAATCCTTGGAACCCTTACTTCGATCATCAACTCTAGGGTTTAAGATTTCTCAAAGCCGTAGAATTGCGAGAGTTTCAAGGATTTTCTGTCACTCTACGTTTCTCCAGATGTTTCACAACGTCAGGCTATTTCCAGAACATCGAAATACGAAGATTTGCAATGATTTTCATTGTTTTTTAATGAATTGGAAATATTGAATTTTTCAAGGATTCGAAAACCTTGAAATATGGCGGCGTAGCGGGCTCCTGGGTTGGGTCACTTATTATTGATTATTATTATTCTTCTTCTTCTTTTTATTGATTAATGAAATAATTTATTTTAAATTCTTTTTTTTACAAGAAAAAAAGAACACGGTGTACAAGATGTTTTTTTTTAAAGTTACTTGTCCTTTATTTATTTATTGGATTCGATATTGAATTTTTGTACTCGATGATTTCCCCAATCGACGGCATAGAGATTGCCGTGTCGATCGAATGACAAACCGATGGGCCCCCACAGTTGATTCGATTGTCCTCCTCGACCGTTTCCACCAACAATGACACTTCCCTGTGTGGCTCCTTTGGGCCAACGCATGATTCGATCATTCCATTGATCAGTCACATAGACAGTGCCCAATTGATCGACAACGACTCCTCGAGGATTTGACAATTGTGTAAGACCATTTCCTTGTCCTTGACCACCAGCCACGACAATGCCTTGTTTTGCACCTTTCATCCATTTCATCACACGATGATTTCCCCGTTCAGATACATAGACTGATTGATCTCGATCGACGAATACGTATCGTGGTTCATAGAGTTGATCGAGACGATTTCCATTTCCATTGCCACCTGCAACCACTGTTCCTTCCGATTCTTCTCTTCGATATCGTCTCACTTCATGTTTTCCATCGTCAACGACATAAAGAGATCCATTCTCGTCCATTGTCAAACCAATACAAGAGATGTTGGATATGATTGTTTCTCCATTTGTTCCATTTCGACGAGGCCATCGAACCACTCTTCTATTCGAATTATCGCATATGATGAGACTATCTGTCTCTTTGTCGACAATCACATCTGCTGGGTGAGACAATTGATGAGTCCCACTTCCTTCTTTATTTCCACCGGCAACCACTTGGCCACTCGTCGCACTCCATTTCCATTCCATAATACGATGATTGTCGTAATCAGCGACATAGATTGTTTGTTCATCATCAATAAACAAACCCAATGGGTATGAGAGTTGATTGATTCTATTGCCATTTCCATTTTCTCCAACTACTGTAAACCCATTTTGTTGCCATCGAGCATTTGAATGAATATCGATGGCACTTCCACGTAATGGATAGACTGAAATAGAGTGGAAGGAGAGAATAAAATGATAAAATAAGAGAGAGAGAGAGAGAGTATAGAGAGAAAAAAGTGAAAAATTCATTTGAATTTTTGTAAAATCAACATTGTTACAAGTTTTAGCTCGTTTTGAAGTTTTTCTTTAGATAGTGGAGGCGGCGTTATCATAAAATTATTTATTTCATTCTCTTTTCTTTTTGATTTTCTTTATTACTTAATGTATCATAAAATAACTGTTGATAGATGTTTCCTTTTTTTGTCTTGTACTACATATGTATATTTTATCGATTACTAATAAATGGTTGAAAAAAAACGGTTTTTTTCAACTATCTTTGATCGTATATTTGAATTAGTGGCCTTTAGAAAATATGAATCTATTGAAATGTAAGTCATCCTAATTTATAAATCATTAATATACAAATAAATAAAGTTCTTTTTTTTTTGCTTGGAAAGAGAAATAGATTACGGTAGTCAATCTGTTACAAAATAATGATTTTTTTTTTTAGTCTTATGAAAGATCTAATTATGAGTGTGCATATATATAGAAAACATTAGAATCTCATATTCTTTTATCGACTAATAGACACAGTATAAGAGAGAGAGAGTCATGAATAATAGAAATAAACTAATTAAAAAGAATTAATGAAAAGAAAAAAAAAAATCTTCATTATATTCATATTGATTTTAATAGAATCACCTTTTCTTTATGTATATAATTAGATATTAGCAACTTCATTAGAGAACATTCAATTATCTTTCTATATTGCTTTGTTTTTTTTTTTAAGGTTCAAACGAACTCAGAATTTTCTCGATAGATTGAGAAAAAAAAAGAATAAAAGAATTCATATTTCTGCAAGTACTTTACAAAGAAAAAGCAGAATATCAGCAGTTGAAACTATTTCACATTATTTTTCTTATTAATTTTTTTTCTTTCTATATGTTCGTTCAATGTATGTTAAAGAAAAAATTCTAGACGAAAAAAAGAAATTTCTTCAGACTACACAACTGAAATTTCTCTATTGTTTTTTTATTGTCTTTTGGTTGTTCATATTTATCTGGAAAATCACATGCTCATTAGAATTCATTTTGTTTTTGTCATTATGCAGTTCTTCTAGAGTCAATTATTATAATATGTTTATTTTTTACATGAAGCTTTTTTTTTCTACATGGTTTTAGATGTAGAAAAAGCAAGAATAATACGGTTTGTCCGGCTAATGGTCAACCAGAATGATTAAAGTAGAACCTGATAACATCATCATATTATAGAGTACACTTTACTATGCTACGAAACATACTTTATTTTTTAATATTTTCTTCTAATGAGTGGAAAAATGATGTACAAAATAGACTTAATATGATTGTTTGAAAATTTTCGTTCGTTTGCGTAGATTTGAATGGAACGATAGAAAAGAAAAGAGATTGCAAATCAAAACTAACTGTTAACACATATTCTGAGTATAAGAAATAAAGACTTTCTTTTGACATAATTTTCATTTGATCAATGGTTATTGGAAGAATGTAGTAGTAGTTACCTTATAACTTGATAAATTCTCGCGTGAGTGCATTACTAATTTTTTTTTCAAATCCCTTAGAATTCTTCGTTAACTTTCCATAGGCTGTCCCATGGTGGATTTATTTTTCGGTTATTCTTTTGTATTAAGAAAAAAAAAATTGGTACATAACGTACTGACGCAGCCGTCATTTTAGCATATAATGCTCTTTTGATTTTATAATTAATATTACTCTGTTATTAGCCATTATACCTCTTTTTGTCATTAGATTTGATAACGATTGAATGACTTTTTCAGTCACACAAAAGTAAAAACCTTAAAGTAAATATTGTCTATAATTGTATTTATACGACGAAGAACCTCCAAAATTCAGTGAAGAATATGGTGGATAATAGAAGATAGGATATGAAATTTAGAGTAACTACTAGATCAAATATCGTCACTTTTGGAAAGACGCTCTTTTACGTCAGCATTCGATGTTTCTCATTTTAAACATGATCAGTAACTTTTAGGATGTTAACAAAAATATGTTACGCGCTAATAGTAAAACTATCAAATGTGCGCCTAAATATTAACAGATTGTATTTGAATATTTAGACTGATGACAGTGACGCGCGCGTTTTGAAAAGGAAAACAGAAAAGGTTTGTTTCAGAGATATAAGGATTAACTAGATATTTAAAGATGAGAATTCGCAAGCAAATGAGTGCATTCCATCAATATTCCGACTATGTTATGCAAACAACATTATTTTGAAAAAGAATTGCTAGCATAAATAGACCCCATCTATCGATGTAAAGTTGTTCTTGACTATAAATCTTTTTAGTTTTTGGGTTCACCGAAACTTTGGCAATTTGATACTGCTAGAGAAGAAACTTCTTTGTATCGATACAGTACTAATATGTAATTTCCCTTCTTGGACACCTAGTATAAAATCAATGGATATGAAATCTATTCAAATTAAGCCCCATCCTAGGGTTAATAGATAGTCTAAATTCTCAAGCTTCCTGTTAATTTCTGTGAGAAATTCGGTTCAAAGTTAAAAGTAAAAAGTTCACTGTTATCCTTAGACAAATAAAAGAATAACATGTGAAGTTGCGCTTTATACTTTAGAGATGCGTCACAGCGTTCTGACAAACTACGTGGAAGATGTTCGTTTTTTAAATGCTCCTTCTCTTGAACTCTGAGAGACACAGTGATCTGTCTTTACATTTCAATATGAAGACATGTAAAAGTTCGAAAATGAAAGAATAATAAGCTTTCTATACTCTAACAAGTAGAAAAGATAGCACTAAGACCTCGAGAATATATGGTCAGAACACGAAAAGTGAGTGCATTACCGCAATATTTATAGTATAACTTGTCAGTAACATTACAAGTTTCGAAATTATTTTTTCGCATTAAGAGGTCTAACTATCCTCTATAAATTACAGTTTAGCCGATGTATTTAAAATTCAAGAATTCACAGAAATTTTGAAAATTTCCATATAACCCAAAAGATGGAGGGCCTTTTTTGTGAGTGCGTTACCGGCATGTATTTTTAGTATAAAAAGTGAATCACAAAATCAATTTGCATGAAACTTACAGATCTAGAAGTGTTTTATTACGTACACACGTACTGCAAAATTGAAAACTCTAAGCTTTGTTGTTACTAAGAAAATTGGATCGAAAATTGACAAAACGTGAGTGCGTTACCTGCGGACAAGTCTAATATTATGACAAAGAGTTCAAGACAGAAAAAAGAAACACAATATTATCTTGAATATTTTTACTTATAAGTTATTATCCTTTTTGAGAAACATAAAATATTCGTTAAAAGAAATCTATGCTTAGCTCTCATTTCGGGCTTAGCAAGGTTCGTCTTCCGGAGCTGCAATTTTCAACGATAATTAATCCTAATGAAAAACATGTCGTTTTTTTTTATTGATAATAAAAAATTTCAGTTCCATAAATTGAACTAGACTAAAGTTTGAACTTATTGATAGATGATTTATACCTTACACTGAGAATTTCTTAAAATTATGTCATTATCAAAAACTATAAAACTTGGAATTGTTTCAAATTCAAAAGTCAACATTAGTGAACAACTTTTCGACACAAAAAAGTAGAATTTTGGTAATTATTGTCATTTATTTTCTATTTTGTCATTTTTTTTATTGGACTTACGCTTTAAAATTAGGCCAACAAGAAAAGAGTTTATCCTTTCAAGATTTAATCCTACTTTTCTCAGTCCCAAAAATTAATATATAAAAATATATGATCTTACAAAAAATTTACCTATACTTGAAGTTTCAAAAATAAAAAAAAAAAAAGATGTGTTTTTTATATGTTGAATCATTTGAGAGAAGTTTCTATATTTTATTTTGTTTGACTCAAAAATATCTTGTTTTGAGTGAAACGTCTTATTCAAATGTAATACTGTTACTTTTTTGAACACACTTTTTATTAATTATCTTCGAAACTGTGACAGCTAGAAAGTTTGCTCAAAATACTATTCAACGTATCTCATCATCATGTTTTATTCATCATATAAAAATGATGTTTCTACCTGCGTAAAAGTCTTGAGTTTCTATAAAAAGGTTTGTGTGTTACGTACTACTACTATTACATAACAAGACTCTGAATTTGAA